TTCCTCCTAGTATCCACTGATGCTTGTCCCTTCTAAATTCCCTGCCGCACTCTCTCAGGCCTCTCAGCTCCTCACATGCTAACTATCTGCAGAGATGCCTTTTTACACACGTCTCAGTTTGTTCTTTAATTGTCTCTAGGTATTCTAACTTAGCTTTGGCTCACTTGACTCTAAACCCACTTAATTAGCTCCAGGTTCTCAATTGTCCTGATTGATTCTGTCAAGTTCTCACTGGCTCTGGACTAGCCCTTGGCAGTTTAGCCTAGGAAAAAATGGTCACTTACCTTTGGTAACTGTTGTTCTTTGAGATATGCTACTCATGTCCATTCCATTTAGGTGTGCACATACCACATGCACAGATTGTCGGAAGGTTTTTCCCTCAGCAGTACCCGTTGGGCTAGCAGGGGAGCCTCCTGGAATGGCCCCTGTATGTGCATACATATACACCCCTGCAGGCCCGCCACACCCTCAGTTTCTTCTTGCCAGAAATCTCTGATGAAGGGAAGGTGATTGGGATGTGGAATGGACATGAGCAATACATCTCGAAGAACAAGAGGTAAGTAACTTTTTTCTTCAAGTGACTGCTCATGTCCATTCCATGTAGGTGATTCCCAAGCCATACCATTTGAGGCAAGGTCAGAGCCTTAACTATCAATCAACTGCAATACTGCTCTACCAAAAGTCATATCCTCTCTGGCCTGCTGCGCTAAGGCATAATGGTTAACAAAGGTGTGAACCACGGAGTAGTAGCCCACCCTGCAAATTCACAACAAAGGCGGCTGAGGAGGCCTCCTAGTAGCAGCAGAGTTGGTAACTCAGCCAGATCATAGCAAGCCTTAAAACAGGAGCTAATCCAAGAGGAGATACAGTGGGCCCAAACTGGGAAGCCCTTTATTCTATCTGCTATTGAAGTGAAAAGTTGTGGGGACATGCAAAAGGGCTTTGTCCTGTCTAAATAAAAGGCTAAAACTCATCATACATCCAATATGTGTAGAGCCTGTTCTTTACCCAAAGTGTGTGGTTTGGGGTTGAACAAAGGCAAAAATATATCTTGGCTAATGTGAAAGTGAGACACCACTTTGGACAGGAAAGTGGGATGTGGGTGAAGCCTTCTATTATCCTTAAAGAAAAGAGTATGAGGGGATCTGATATTAGGGCTCGAAATTCAGATACTCATCTCGCAGACGTGACAGCTACTAAAAAGGATACCTTCCATGAGAGATATTAGCACATTGCCAATGGCTCAAAGGGGGGACTCGGGAGCATCGCAAGAACCAGACTGAGGTCCTTAGGAGGGACCAGTTGATGAACATATGGGTATTGCTTGTCCAGACCCTTTAGAAAATGTTGAACCATGGGATTCACAAAAATGGACTTGCCCTAGGAGCTTGAGTGGAAAATGGAGATGTCCGCAATGTGCACTCTGACCAAATGATGAAGACAACCCCTGAGTCCTAAGATCCAGGAGGCAGACGAGGACTGAGGGAATAGAGGGTTCCAGCGGGGGAACGCCCTGCTAACCAGCCCAGACAGAAAACTGTTTCCATTTTACCAAGTATGTAGCTCTGGTTGTGGGTTTCCTATTCCCCAGCAGAACTCTCTGAACCTGCTCTGAGTACTGTTGCTCTAGGCCTGTCAGCCATGAAGCTTCCAGGCCATGAGATGCAGAGACTGCCGGTTTGGGTGGCGAAGACTGCCAGAGTCCTGAGTTATCAGGTCCGGGTAGAGGGGGAAGGCTATTGGTTGATCTACTGACAGACTGAGGAGGGATGTGAACCAGCGCTGCCAGGACCATGCTAGGATCACCCTGTGGATTAGGGGGAAGGGAGGGAATACATATAGGAGGCTGGGGGGCCAGGGAATTAGGAGAGCTTCCCTCAGAAACTCTGGGATGCGGTTCATGAAAGCGCAGAAGCAGGGTCATGTTGCTGCAGGACATGAAAAGGTCTAGGTGGGTAAATTCCCACCTGCGAATGATGAACCACATCTGCTCCAAAGGACCACTTGTACCCCATGAAGAACCTACTGAGCTGGTCTGCAAGGATCCCAGGAGGTAAGAAGCTACCAGGTGAATGTCATGTTCTATGCAAAAGCCCCATAGGAGGAGGGCTTCCTGGCCCAGGGGAAAAGAACAAGCACCGCCATGTCTGTTGACATAGAACATTGCTGTTGTATTATCTGTCACGGCAAAGTGCTAAGTAGATGGACCTGATGGCTGGCTGTTATCCAAG